ACACCTGTGGGACCGCCTTGGTCTCTGAAAACAAAACAAAACACACGCATTGCCTTTACGTCAGCTGGGATTCACGATGACCCTATGTGTCAGAACTGTGTTTCACGCGGTTTTCAGTGGCTGAGTTTCCGGTCAGTCCCCAGGCTGTCCCTCCAAGGTGCCTCTGGATGCCTCAAACCGCCAGCCATTCACGTCGCTGCTGAGCACCTTAACTGCTCACACCACCCGTGGACTCCAGGGGTCCTCAAAGCTGGTGGGATTGGGGCGGCCCGAAGCTCCTTAACAGCTGTGCTTCTTCATTGATCTGGGATGAGACTTTGCAACCAACGAAGAGCCAGGTTCTCTTGAAGGTGGAGTTGCATTAATGCTACGTGGGGACCGAGTCTTCATAGATAAGACATGCGTTGGGTGGGAGGGTGGGGGTCTTAGTCCCCAAATGGGGAACCTCTAGCACACAATCAGCCTTGAGCTCACGGTGCCCACCAAAAGGAAGTCAGCAGTCACTCTGATCTTGATTAATTGTTGATTGACATTGCCCTCAGATGGGGTGGTAGATGCTTTCATGATGCGTTCATGACCCTTGTTCGTAGGATACGGCCTGTGCTCAAGTAGGAGGCCCAGGGGAAACACAGAAAGAACAAATGTTCCCTCCTGTCATTTTCCAGTGTCCCTTTTCTACATGTGGCTTTCCTCCTTCTGAGGGGCAGGGCTTAGGGGAAGGGAGACTTCCTGGGGACAGTCCCAGCGGTCACAGGGGTGAGACGCTCAGGGACTACGTGTAGATGTTTCTCATTCTGCAGTTACAGTGTTCAAAGGTCAGACCATTCAGGAGCGTCTTTACCTGGTAACTTCCTTAAAATGAAAGGGGTGTGCGTGGGAAGGAAGCAAGTGGGGCTGACCTGTGATGAGCACAGCAGCTTTTTGCCCTTAAGAACCCTCTGTCTCACCCCTTTTCCTACCAGGGTGGAGTGAGGTCTCTGTTCTGAAAGCCCCACCATTTCCTCTTCTCACCGGCTTTCTCTAGATCAGCATCCCTGGGGGGCTTGTCTAAGACACATGTCCGGATCCAAGCCCAGAGTTTGTGAATCGGTAGGTCTTGGGTGCCATCTGAGAACTCACGTGTCTCCTGAGTTCTAGTGAGGGTGACGCTGATGGTGAGGGCCTAGGGGCCACACTTGGAGAACCACCGTCACTCGCCCTCCCATGGCTGGGAAGACAGTTGTCTAGTTCCTTGTTCCTTTACCTCTAAGCCTTAGTTTCCTCATCAGTAAAATGGGGCTGTGAGCAGTTCCAACCTCACTGAGAGGTCAGGCTGATGCAGTGTGTCAGACCTTGCACATCATGGGTGCTCAGTAAACGACGTCTCTGATCTCCGGGATCCTTTTCTGCCCTGTGGGCAACTCAGAAACCTCTGAGAGCAGGGACTAAGATGGTAAATCTCCCATCATTTAGAAGCCAACTGCCAAGCAGCAGGCATTCAGATATTCACTCAATGAATTAGCAACTCTCTGGAATCGACAGTGGAGGTTATCTAGGGAGAGAGACTCGGGGAGAGGGGAGTTTGCACCAGAACTTTGGACAATGTGTGGAGGCAGAGGGGGCGAGGAGCCAGTACAAGAGGTAGAGGGTGGGATCAGAGCTCAGAAAACCAAGATGACGCCCTGTCCTGGGGCCAAGGGATAGGAGAGTTTCCAGGACAGAACTGAAAACAAACTGCAACACACAGGTCTCAAACAAGATGAGCACAGAGAGTAGGCCACCCATTGCATTTGGCAATTAGGAACTCATTGTGGGCTCCAAAGGGCAGCTTCATTGGAGAAGTGGGGATAGAGAAACTAGCCATGATCCTCGGCAACCAAGGCTTTCCCTGTCAAGGCAGGTGTCTGACCCATTTTGCAGGTGAGGACACTGAGGCCTTGAGACATTCAGCCACCTGGTCCAGGTCCCAGGGTGGTGTGAGATGGAGGAGAGCTGTATTTCTAATGGACTCTGGAGCTTGATCTCTTTAACTGCGACAGGGTGGCGCCGCAGGTTGAGGGTGAAGGGTGGAGGAAGCAGCAGGTGAGGAGTGCTTGCTGGGGTCTCTAACCGAACGAGCCCTGTCGCTGCTTTAGTTTACCAAGGCTGCAGGAACAAAGTACAACAAACCACGGGCCTTAGAAGGACGGGAGTGTGGTGTCTCACTGTTCTGAGTGCTACAAGTCCAAGGTCAGGGTGCCAGCAGGGCCGTGCTCGCGCCAAGGCTCGGGGGAGGTCCCTTTCCCCTTCTCTCCCAGTGTCTGGTGGCCCCAGGTGGTCCCCGGCTTGTGGAGGCATCTTTACGTGACTGTCTCTCCTCTGTCTCTGCAGTGCCTCTTTTGCAGGGCACTACTTGGGAGGGGTTAGGACCCACTCTGCGGTTTGGGGTTTTGGGGTTCAGTTGATACACCCACAGTTTCCTTGTGTACTAGAGTGGTTTTCCCAAAAGTCCTTGTCATCAAGTCAGTTCCAGCTCACAGTGATCCTGTGGGTCAGAGTGGAACTGCCTCGTGGGCTTTCCAGGGCTGTTGTCTTTATGGAAGGACACTACCACGTCTTCTGCAAAGTGGCTGGTGGGTTTGCAGGGTGGGTCAGCGGGGGTGCACATGGGCCTGGAGAGCGTCCCAGTGCGCTTGTGGTGCCTGGCTGCAAATTCCTGTTTGTGTCTGGTGTGGCCGTTCTGCAGAAGAGGGAAGGGAGCCAAACTGGGCACTAAGACCTTGAACTCCACCCTGGCACTGACCAGTTTGAGGTCCAATGGGCTTCGAACCACCTTCAGAGTGGGGGAGGGAGGGAGAGCGGCCAGATCTGCCTGGGCAGCTGTGGGAATGTTGCTCCAATGAGCAGCTTTTTCTTCTTGGACTCAGCTGACTTCCCACCGTCCTGCCAAATCCCAAGCAGCAAACATTTGCGAGCATACTGGCGCCCTTGGATTTTCAGAAACATGTCCGTCAGCAGTCTTGTTGGCCAGACCATTGTCTTATTGACACCAAACAACCACCCAGGAAAACCTCGCCCCCCATGATAATTTAAATGACATTGGCCTGTGGATCTAGAAAGTCCCTAGATTTTAGAAGGTTCTAGAAAGACACCAGGGCCCCAGTGTCCTTGGGTTGGGTGTGATAACTAGCTTATTGTGTGTTTATCTTGTGCCAGGTCCTGGGCTGGGTCCTTGGGAAAAGCCCTGGTTATTCCACAAGAGGAGGGTGTGGGTGGTGGGGAAGGTCACCGAGCTCATGGGGTTGAGGCACAAAGAGGATGTTGTGTGGAGAATTCCACAGCCACTGGAGAGGGCAGACCTTGGAAGAGGTGTAGTCGGAGCCGTGGAGAAATGGACCGGAGCTGTGGAGGGGGCGGTGTGTGGAAAGAGGAGGTGGGGAGCTGCATCAACAAGAAAGCTGGCTACTTGGCTGAACAGAGGGCCGGGGTCCCCTGGACACCTCTGCCCTTACTCCCCACATCCAGCTGGTCACCCAGCCCTGTTGACTCAACCTGTGGCATATCTCTGGGGTCATCCTTTCTTCTCTGCCCCACTGCCTTGTTCCCCACTGACCCTGGAGGTCAAGCCCCATGGTGGGCATCAGTGCTGGGTGGGGCTGTGCAAACACCCTTGACCTGTCCGGGCTCTTGATCTCCACCTGGCTTTGTCATTAGAGTGCTCCCTTGGGCACGTCATGGGACCTCTGTGGGCTTGGGCTCTGATCCGTCAAATGGTGATTAGGATGTCGACGGCGAAGATGACAAGATGTCCCCTACCCCCACCTGTACCTACCTCACTGCATCGCTTTGAAGCCCACACTGAGATAATAAACTACCTGAGTTTTATAAACTGAAAAATGCTGTGCTGACGCAGATTGTGATCAAGTAAACGTTGGTGCCCCCTGACCCAGGGCTGGCTGTGAGCCACAGGTCTTGTCCGGTCATCTGCTTTGCTCCCCTGGGACACCTGGGGGTTATGGGGGGACCCATTTAGAGGGTGGGGCTTGTGGCCACAGGTGTGCTACGGATACTAGCCAGGAAGTGAACACTGTCGTCTCCAGGCTGCATCTCCTCCTGCCTCAGGAGGTTTCTGGCTTTAGGTCCTGGTATAAAACTACATTCCACTTGGGGATGGGTGTGGAGGCACCCAGGAGAGATTGGAGGGAGAAAGGCGTCTTGATTTGTTTTATGCAAACCAAGTGCAGTCATGAGGCAGCAGCAGCAGCAGCGTCTGGGAGCTGATCAGGCACACAGACGCCGGCCCCGCCCCGGCACTGGGAGTCAGGGTCTGTGATTAGTGAGACCCCCAGGGGTTCTACCACACACTGAGGCTGGGAATCCCCCTCCGCAGTCTCATCTGTGTCCACTGAGAAATCCTTAGTTTCTCAGCCTGTTTGTTCTCAGGTAGCAACCACAAGCCATGTGAGAACAGGCCAGTGGGGCTGTGCCCAAATCGTGGCCACTTCCTTTCCTTCCTCATCATCCCCCCTCCCCAGTCCAGTTCCTGTCTCCCATTGTGGCCTGCTGTGGTCCCATCCAGGCAGGGTGTCAGAGATAGAGGATACAAAGAGGTGACGAACTCCTGTTCCTTAAATCAGACCCCAGATTTGAGACTTGAACACACAGAGGGAGTGGAACATTTAACCAAACTGTTCAGTTTGGTTAAACAGAACATGGTAGGCATTGCAGCCTGGGTTCAAATCCCAGCAGAGCCTCCCATTGACTCTGCCACCTTGGGAAGGTCACTCAACCTCTCTGAACCTCCATTTCCTGCCTGGGAAATGGACATTGAAGCCTGAGATGCTGTTTTCTGGGGACTGTTGGCCAAGGTCGGTGTGGGAGCGGGTCCTTCTCCCGTGCTTGGTGTTGCTGGGAGCTGGTGGGCTCTGAGGGTCCAGGTGCCTGCGCTGCCCTGGGCGCCCTCGTGGCTGGAGCCCCTTCTTTGGGGAAGCGCTCCGTGGTGTTTCACCGAGCATCACGCCTTTGTTTGCTGTCGGCCGCAGATGACGTCCGATTGTTTGCCTTCGTGCGCTTCACCACCGGGGACGCCATGAGCAAGCGCTCCAAGTTCGCCCTCATCACGTGGATTGGTGAGAACGTCAGCGGGCTGCAGAGAGCCAAAACCGGCACTGACAAGACCCTGGTGAAGGAGGTGGTGCAGGTAATTCTCGGGTTCTTCTCGGGCCTGCCCGCCCCCCCCCCCCCGTGACATCCAGCAGGGAGGGCTGGTGTGGGCCACATGTCTGGCAGGGAGGGGCTGGTGTGGCCCTGGGCTGATGACTTAACACATGACTTTGAACAAACTGGACCCATAGTGAAGGTTTGAGTCACAGAAGAGAAGTTACCATCAGAACAAGACCCTAGTGGGAAAAACGGGGAAATCTGCATCAAGTCTGGAGTTTAGTTAGTGGTGAGGTCCGGGTTTGGTGGCTTCGTTTTGATGAGCATACCACAGACGTGTAAGCTGCTAACACTAGATCTAGGAGAGTCACAATAGGGGGCGTTGGTGAGAGGAACATGGGGACTCTGGGCTGTATTTAACAACTTCTCTGGAAATCTGAAGCTATTCCATACTGAAAGTTTTATTAAAGAAAAATAATAGTAGGAAAGAGAGAAAAGAAGAAAAAACAACCTCCTGTCACCCTAGAGCAAGCATCCCTTTTCCGTCATCCTACCTGTTCCTGTGTGTGCCCCCGGCCCCCGCCTTTGTGCATGGCTGGAGTTCCAGCCTCCAAGTCCCGCTCTGGTTGGCTTTGTTTCTAGGTTAACATAATTTCATAAATTCTGTGGCTGCATAGTCCTTGTAATTAACGTGTTTTTTTTTTTCCCCCCTCCTGGTGGCAGAGCGTCCCATTTCATAACCATTCTAGAATGTTCTACATGTTCCCAGTCGTTGGTCTTTTGAGTCACTTCCAGTTTTCACTCTTACAGATCATGTTGGGCTCACCACGTCCATACAGGCAGCTCCCTTCCCTCCCCCACTGAGCTATTTCTTAGAATGCCCTGCAGGAAGTAGGGCTTGGGCGGCAGTAGGTGTTTTCATCACATGAACAGGTGCAGCCATTCTGATTGTCCTGTCAAAGGATCAGCACAGTGCCCAGGACCTGATAAATGTCCGGTGAATGTCACTTCCTTCATATCTTAATTAGTGTCACCAGTCAACACTGCTGTCTGCACTCTGCCTGGCAGTGATACCCCGTCACTCCTCAGCTGTCAGTAGGCTATTTGTCTGTGGGCTCATTAGGGTTTATATATATATAAACCCTAATGTAATATATAAATTACATATATATATGTAATTAAAAAAAAAAAAACTTTATTGAGATTTGGGTGAAAGTTTACAGAGTAAATTCATTTTCCATACACATTTTGTTTCATGACATTGACTGCAGTTCCCCACAGTGTAACAGCTCTCTCCCCACTTCCTCCCTGTGGTCACCTCTTCCCTGTGCCCTTCCCTCCCATGCACTTCTGACCCCACCCCCAGCTGTCTCCCTGTGTAAACACTGCCCTTTTGTTTTTCCACAATTGATCACTCCAGGGAGAGTATCTACCTGAGGTCAGTGTTCACCCCATATGCCTGTCTGTTGTTTGGCTGGAAGCCATAGAAGTGAGTTCAGTTCTGGACCTGAAAGGCAGCTAGGGGCCATAGTCTCAGTGGTTCCGCCAGGCTCTATCAGACCAGCAAACCTGGTCCCCCCACCTCTTTTTTTTTTTTTCCTCCAAATGATTTTGAATTTTGTTGCACATTGTTCTCCCTCTCTATCCAGGATCTCTTGCGTAGATCCCCCTCCGAGTGGTTGACAGTGGTAGCCAGGCACCATCTAGTTCTTCTGGTCTCACGGTCATATAGGCTGAGGGATCACATGGTGTACCAGTTTCTTGGACTAATTGTTCCCATGCATCTTTGGTTTTCTTCATTCTTTGCTCTGAGAACCATCATTGCATCTAGACGGCTGCTTGCAAGCTTTTAAGACCCCAGTCACTACTCACCGAAGTAGGATGTGGAACAATGTTTTGTGTAGTATGTTCTGCCAATTGAGCTTGATATCCCCTGCAACCATGGTCCTGAGCCCACAGGTCCAACTGCTCACTCCTTCCAGGTCGCTGGCTGTGGCTCAGAAGTCACCACAACCTTGTCCCTTGTCAGCTCTACTATATACCCAGACATTCTTACAGCACACATAGATATGCTCGTAGAAAAACGTCATCTGCCAACCCTCTGCGTGGTCCTGTGGGCCCATTAGAGTTTTAATGGTTCACCAGCTTTCAGGGGTCTCCTGGTTGACAGCAGAATGAAAAATGCAAGAGAGTGCGTATTCTGTGGTCAAAGGTCAGCTCAGTTCTGCTGTCTAGGCTCAGTCCCCGGATCTGCACTGGCCGCCTGGGTGGCGCCCGAGGGAAAGAGAACCGCAGAGAGAGAATGCCTGTAGTTTGCTGTAAATCCAGAACCTGTTCAGTTTGGTTAAAGGGGCCAGTGGCTGAGGACGACTTGGGAAATAGGATTCTTTGGAAGGACCTTGAGGTGGGAGTTCCGTTACAATTCATTTGTTTGTGAGCCCAAATGAGAGCAGACTTCCTTGGTTGTGGGACTTGGAAGTGGGTACGGCTGGCCTCAGTGTGGCTGGGTCCGGGTTTAAGTGGTGCCTCCATCTCTGCTCTCGGTTGTGTTTTTCTCCCAGTTTGGCTCCAGGCCGGCCCTGCAGAGCGCGACAAATGGTGGAGGCTTTGGAGGCCCTTCTGGGTGATGAGCTGAGAAGGAGAGAGACCTCCCTCCCTCAGTGCCAGTCAGCCCCTTCCTGGGACCCTGATTGGCCCGGCTCGGGTTGTGTCTGCACTGTGTGGGGCAGGGAGCTAGGGCTTCCCGACTGCCATGATCCTGGATGTTAAAAGAAGGGGAAGCTGGGTAAACAGGAAAAAACAGAACAGACATCCCCTCGTGGGCAGCCAGGAAGCGTCTTGTGCTGCAGGTGGAATCCGTGTTGACCGTTGCTGTCTGCGTTGTTCCCTTTACATTAATGGTAGCTGTCTGCAGCGTAACGGGGCCTCACATTATACACTGCAGTGTAATGCAGCCGTTGAGGTTACCAGCGGCAATGACGCTTGCAGAATGGGGCTCTCAGACCGTCATTAGATCAGGACTGCGTATCAGTTCACCTCTCTGTACAATGGGGACCCTCCAAATGGGCCATTCTAGGCACCCTGTCCTGGGGAGTGGACTACTTCCCTAGCTGCCATTTGCAACCATTTCCACCTGAAGAATAACTAGGTTGACTTTTACTTTATGATTCTTAATAAACTCTTGCTTTTATTACAAAAAAATGAGACCCCCATATCTCTGTGCTTATATGAAATGTCAAGATCATCAGTTGCTTGGTCATAGATGCAGGGACACTGGAAACAAGAGGGATGGGTGGACATGGCTCCCTCCCTGGGCCTTGGTGTCCTGTCCCTAAAAGGGGAAGTTGGAGAGGGGGACTTGCTGTCCCTCTCAACTTCCATGTCCTAAAATGTTCCTGTTGTTTAAGAAATAGGGTCGTTTGTTTCTGAAGATAATTTACCTTTAAAGGAACCTTATTTTATTTTTTGGGACAAAGAGGCAGTGTCACTTAATAGTCAGGGACGGAGATGTTTTAGCTGGACGTGTGTGTTCAGTTTTCCGTTCTACTGCATACTGTGTGACCTGGTGCACACTGCTGACCCTCTCTGAGCCTCAGTCTCCTTGTGTCTGAAGGGCTAATAGAGGATCTGCCTCTTAGGGTTGCTGTGGGGATTAAATGAGTGAATGTAGGAAGGAATGCTGTATAGAGGAGTCTGGTCAGACTCAGTGCCGACTGTGGACTCTGTTCCAACCCACAGCGTCCCCACGTGTGTCAGGGCAGAACTGGGCTCCGCAGGGGTTGTGGTGGCTGATCTTTGAAAAGCAAACCACCAGGCCTTCCTTCTGAGGCTTCTCTCGGTGGCAGGGAGACTCCAGCCTCTCGGTTACCGCTGAGTATATGGACTGTACCACCCAGCATTGACTCCTCAGTCAGTGGTAGCAGTTCTTGTTTCCAGTTTTCCCTTTCAGGCAAGCCCGTGATGAACGGCCTGGGTAGGAGACGTTTCTAAGTTGTGAATCATGTGTTTGGGAGATGTTTGCTGCATGTGTTGAGCTCCAGGCATGGGCAGAAGTCTGGTTGTTGTTGATCCTTGTTGTCTAACCACCTTCCAGAAGGCTGGCACCAAAGCCACAGCCCCCAGAGACACAGGAAGGTGCTGGCCTCCCCTGCCCTGCCAGTGCTTTCTGAAAGCCGTTCCTGCAGGACTAAGGCCCTCTCCCTGCCACCTCGCCTGTGGCCTGCCGCACAGGTGTGTCGGCACATGAGGAAACTGAGCCCGAGGGCAGGCTAGGGCTTGTGCTGACGCACAGGCAACCAGCGGCTGAGCTGGGGCCAAAGCCAGAGCAGTTAACTCAGGCGGCTTGACTGCGGGTCTCTTTAGTCTGTATTCAGAGCCAGGCTGAGACGCTGAGCCGTGCCTGTGATTGGGAAGCAAGACAAACACCCTCAAGGCTGCGGGCAGCAGAGGCCGTGGGGGAGGGGGCTGGACGACGCAGACACATGGACGTGAGTCGGGAAGACGCACAATGGACAGCTGCTGTGCGTTGGCTGGTGGCCGGCAGCCTGCGGCACAGAGCCGGGCGGGTGCCCGGGACAGAACACCCCCCGCATTGTCCTCGCACTGCTGCGGGACTGCGGGGACAATGTGGTCACCACTGAGAGAACCAAGCCCAGTGCCCGGGCCAGGCTGTCTTGGTGTAAAGCCAGACTGTCAGTAATGCAGCGTGCTTGTTTTACAAAATGGTTTTATTCACGTGACCCTTTTATTTATTTTCTGAGATCATGTAAAAGTTCACTGAGCCAAGCCTCCGGAAGGGACAGCTCAGCTCGCAGCACCGGGGCAGGCGAGCGGACAGGGTGTCCTCCGAGGAGCCGTGGTGCAAGTGAGCTCGGGGTGGCAGATGAGCCCCGGTTCTGGTGGCGTCCACACCCCTGGGCCACTTGGATGAAGTTCTGGGTCTGCTGCCTGTCCAGGGCCAGATACACCTGAGCTCCATCCTGAGGGCGTCTTCCATGCACCCACCCTCGTAACAGTAGCTGTTTACTGTGCCCCTACTAT